CCCACCCTGAAAAAGAATTTGTAGATACTGACCACATAAGTTGTTGATGCACATCTTTTGTGCATATCTCTGAGAAGGTCTGGAAAGACAGCTAGAAGAGCTGCTATCAATTTAACTAGAAAGATCAATGGTCTGACTTGGTATAAGTCATGTTCATTCATTGTGTATGATGTTTTTATTTTATTTTATATAAGACGATGGGATCTATTTTTTCTCGTATCTAAATTGTATTAACATTAACCATTAACTTCACTGAAAAGGGGGAAAGAGTGTTTGTTCAGTGTCTCCTTTTGACTGCGTTTTTATCACAATGTCATGGATTTCTGAAAGGGGACAAGGATAGATATTTTTTAAAAGGTTGAGGCCTATTAGGCATCACCTCCATGATGCTTTCCAGCTTGGAGGACAATCGACTTCCCCACTTTTTATTTAAGCCAATGGAGGCATTTAATTGCTGTCACCACTAGGTAGATTTGGATGAGAAAGGAAAGTGCATGGCAGTGAAGAAAGCAGCTGGTGCTAGGATGAATTTTATAGTAGTCTGGGGATATAGACCCCTTGATTTCACTATTGTGAACATTTTGTTTCTGATTGTTGACATTAATGTTGCTTCAAGAAAAAGGACATTTGGGTAGGGGTCTCATAGGAAAAAGGTGTTTCGTAAACATAGTTGCCTCCCCCCGTTCTTATCCTACCTCTCAGACTCACACTGGCAAGACAGTTCAGGAAAATAAAAGACAAACCGTCACAAACATGTGGAACATTGTTATCACACATTGAGCAAATTTATGGAGGATAGATCTGTCAGTTGATATTAGCCATGATAGCAACAGATGGAACCTCTGTTTTCACAGACGGTACAGTTCTGATTGCCAGATGGTAGGGGACAGAATTTATTTCTATCTTGCCATATTTTGATTTTTCCAGGGATATCTGCCTGGTCACTATTGCTGGACAAGATGTACTTTTTGTCTGATTGAGTAAGATAATATTATTTTGGATTTTTGTTCCATTTGATGTCAAATAATATTCGTTTATTTGAACGAAAAAACTCTCAACTGGACAGATTTACAACTCCAGACACTCATCTGGACATAAAAAACACTTGAAACTGTAACTTAAAAAGCAGTAGAAAAAACAGAAGAGTACTGACTATACAAAACTCTTTAAAATAGTATTAAGGACAAAAATATGCTTTATAGCTGTCTAACAAAATAATAATAGTAGTACTCTTAAAAAGTTAGCAGTAGTGAATGTTATTCACAGAATTGCACTATATTTGTTTCGCCCTGTACTATTCGTTTTTCTGGGTTGTCATAGTTGCAGAATCAGCTTAGAACATTCTTAAATAAGCTTTGTTTTCAGCGAATATTGCTGACCTTCTCCCAAGCTGTCTTTTGCTTTCTTTCTTCCTCCAAATCAGTTCCTTCTATCCCTAGGCTCCATAGTTGACTATATTTCTGCAATATTTTCATCTCTGGAAGATAGAGAGCTAGCACATTCATAAGCAAGCCCTCATCACAGTTGCTTCCATTCTTTATCTTTGCATTTTCCCCTTAGTTTGTAATGTATTCAGCATTCTCTGTTTAGTTTTCCCATTAAAATCAGTGGGAGTAAAAATTAATTGTGTGTACTGTTTGTAAACAGGATCTCTAATAGTGCTTAAAAAGCACCAACACTTATTGCAAGAGAAGAGTCATCCCCCTGTTCCAAAAAGTCTACAGAAGGAAAAGAGATTAAATCACATACTCTCTAATGACAAGCTGATAAACATTATTCTGGTTTTTTGCTTTAAATTGCCACCACCTTTAAAAATCACAATCATGTGAAACTATTGTATGTTGCCATCTTCCTTCAGAGTGGTATTGGCAAAATTCTACAGTAATGAACCATCTCTGCAAGAGTATAGCCAATATCTTAACAGACGATGAGGTTTATATATAAAAAAAGACTATGGTGAATCTCTTTGGCTGGCTAACAGCAAACTTACCCCAGGGAAATTGCAGTTGTTGGTTTGAGTTCTAGAAACAGCATAAAGTACTGTTTTCCTTATCTGATTCTGTATGTTGCCTTTCTGACCCTCATTCTATTCTTGCTCTGGTTGATGCCAAGCAGCCTGTTAAATTCTGTGACTTTTAATCTTCTGGAAGAAAAGCATCACCTCACAACCTTCAGATGTGTTACAATAAGACAACGAAGTGGTGATTTGTGTTATTGATCCAGTCACTTCTAATACAGTCATACCTCAGTTAACAAAGTCCCCATCTACACTCACTATTTAATGCACTTCGAAGCTAGCTTCAAATTGTGGTGAGCAGAGAATAAACACACATGAAAGTAAGCCCGTAATGTGCATAATTGCTCTGTAGTTTGGGTAATCACTATCTGGGTGTCAAAAAGTCAGTGTAGATGTGTCCTGAGAAAGATGTGGAAGGCAGTAGCTTTTGTAAGGGAACAACAAAATATACCGAAGCAAAAAAATATATCTTGAGGGTATCCTTTAAACTTTAGCTGGATGTAACAAGTCTGCAAGGTTTAGGCAGTAGTTTATATACCACTTTCTTCTTAAAATTACTTTATTCAATACTGATTTGAAACTGCATTAAACGAGCAGTGTAGATGAGCTCAAAGCCTCTAACAATGAAGCTTATTTTACAAAGTCTTTGTGCAAACCAGCCTTCCCTGTGCTTGTCATCTGGATTGGAATAATGTTGAAGGAGGGCTGGAGAAACACAGACATTCAATGCTGAGTTCCAATAACATGTTTGCAGTAATAATACAATACAGCTTGCAATGAGGAAAATGTGTTTCTACTCTACTTGATCATTCTTCAGCTGTATGCACTTGCCTCCAGTAGGCAAGGTAAATAGCAGCTGCCTCCAGAATGCTTTACTGATCACGTGTGAACACCTAATGAGAAAACAAATTAAACTGCCTCACCAGTTACCTCCAGCATATTAAAAATAAGCATAGATCTTTAAGTCTGGCAAGGTTTCAAGACTGATGAAATAATCCCTGCATGCCTTTTGTAAAAAGCTTTTGGATGGACTCCACATGGCACAAAATATTTTTCTTTTACTTATGCAAGGTTTATCTGATACCCTTGTTTTATTTAACAAGTGTGTAGTGTATGTCTCCCTGTCTTGTGTGCCTTCAAGTTATTTCAGAGTTATGATGACCCTATCACAGGTTTAATTGGCATAGTTTATTCACAGGGGGCTTGCCATTACCCTCTTCTGAGACCGAGAGAACATGCCCAAGGTCACCCATTAGGTTTCCATGTCCAAGCAGAAATTTGAATCCCTGTCCAACATTCAAACTACTATACCACACTGACACATTTGGAATGTCATTAGCTGAAGCATTTGTACCTAGTATTCATAGCAAACAGCTCTCTGGGTAGGTTAAAGTTATAATATAAAACAGCACAATTATGCCTGTTGACTTGTATATGCACACACATATCACAACATAGAATAAAATAAGGCACAAACTTTAAAGCACAGTTGGGAATCTGAAAACATTGGAGGGAGTTCAATGCATTACTTTTGATGTCCACTAATCATTCCAAAGACCCCTAAAAATTCACCTGAAAGAATGTGTTTTTGCCCTACCTGCAGGTTCTAGGACATGCTGGAAAGGGAACATTAAATATACTAACAAGTATCACCAAAAGCAGATGTAAAGGTCCTTGGTAGATGAAAGAAAATCTTTAGTTGTCAGTGATCGAAGACTTCGTACCCACTATGTTCTGCTAGGAAAGACATCACCAAACAATTTCATATCGAAATAAATAGTACTTTAACCTATATACTCTTGAAACTTTTGTCAAAAAATCAGGCCAAAAACATGGATGGACTCATCGACAGGTCAGTGTGACTACTGTAGTTTAACTATTACCAAAAAATGAATCACCCTCTTCTCTGAATAGAGTGGCAAAAGGTGAGAACTTCATCCAGCTTGGGAGAACCTAAAAGAAGTACTCTCTGATGTGGTGCCATTTCTGACCTTTCTGAATGTCTGGGTGCGAAAATGGCAGTGGTGGCCCAGGGTGGCTGGTCCTTAGAGGGGGCATTGGTGTTTCCCTTTCTCTGCAGTCTGACCCTTGACTTATCCATGGATGATGTACAAATCCATCATTTTGTCCCCAAAACCTGCCCTTGACTTATACATGAAATTGACTTACATGAGTTTATTTGTTAGATACTTTGCTCCTATGCCAAAGAGGCCTTAAACTGGCACTTCAAATTGTGCTCAAAGGTGAACTGATAGTCATTGACACTGGCCTGCATAAGATATTTTTTGTTTCCTTTTTATTGTTCGTTTCATTACAGTCAGGATTGGTGTTGCATTTTAGGTTATTTTTGGGGGGTTTTCTCTTCCCCTTTCTTCCCTCTGTATCTTTATCTTCTGAATGTACGCTATTTTTGTTGTAAATTAGATTGTTGATTTTGAAAATCAACCAATATATAAACCTTTTTTAAAAAGAAGAAAAATAAAACCAATTAATATAAAGTATCCCCCCTCAAAACAATATACATTAGTAATCTTGGTCCAAAATCATTTGTCTTTTGTAATTTCACAACTATTACGTACTACAGTATTCCAGCATATAGATGTTTGGTTATATCTAATCAGCAGGTGATTTGAAATGAACTGAAGATTAAAAGCAGTTTTTCCTTCCCTTTACTTTCCTTTCAATTAGTAATATTTACGTTTCTAAATGTATCCAAAGTGCTTAGAATACCTTATTTCTTTTTGTGAATGTAGAAGTAATGTCGTAATCCTTCAAGTTATTCCTTCCTTTCTCAGTTTTTAAAATATTCCATTATTTTAATTAAATTTTCTCAAGCATGGTTGCATGGCTGTATTTCTGTTATTAGATTGATCTTACAGAAATACCAGACTGTTCTTCCCTCTTATTTTTCTTTCAGAAGTCGCAGGTCCCCTTATAGAAAGAAAGCTAAAATAAGGGAAGGAAAAAAAAGCGAACTTCTGCTTGGCCACAAGAGTCCCCTGCAATCATCAATGGTATCAAGAAGGTCATGGCTTCAAGATGGTTCCACACATCAAATAAAATCAGTTCAGAAAAGTGATAGAGTATCAAAACTAGTCAGCTACAAATCAAACAGTACAAACAATTTCTGCGTTATATCACCATCCAAGAGAAACAGACCTGTCAGTGCTCCACCAGGTCAGCTAAGGTAATCAAAGCTCTTCCATGTTTCTTTTAACTGTGACTGTTGCTACTCTGTCCCCTTTCAACTGAATTCATGATGATTCAATTGACAGCCTTAAACTTACAATAAAAGGTGGTGAAATATTTATTGAGAATCATGGCATCTAGTAGTATTGACAATACAATGCTAGGCATGTTTACTTAGAAGCAAGTCCCTTTGAATTCTGTGGTGTGTATTCTCCAGTGTGCTTAAGATTGCCACCTTAGCCATTGTCAGGAGTGCTTCAATACAATAAATATCTTATATTACAACCTTTTATCTGTATGAAAAAGCTCCATTTAGATCATCATGTACAGAGTTACTTTTCTGCTAATAAAAGGCCAATTGTGTCATTATGGTGAATGGACAGCCCCATTTCTGATCAGCAGGAGGCGAGTCGACATGTTGTTTTCATTCACTGAAATGCATAATGGATCGAAATCTTGTTATTTCATGGCATAGACTGATTGGATAGTGTACAAAGCATGATATATACATCAGAACTGCTGACATATGGTCACAGTTTAGAAATAAGTTGTACTGAAATTGTTGGGGCATAATTTCATATAATAGACATTATCAATAGAGTTTCTTTTCATATCATCAAAATCTAGCCCAACTATATTTTATTCTTTGTGTGACATTTCACAATCTCTGATTCCATTTGCTTAATGTAATATTTCATATCTATCAAATAAATTATAGGATTGTTATTCTTTGCTCTTGTCTCCTAAAAAAACAAGATAATAGTAGACAATAGTGACAAGCACTTTCACTTCTAACTTTCAGAAAAAAAACAAAATTAGAAAAGTTGACAGAATGCAAAGAGGTTGAATTACTAGGTTTTAAGCAAAAAGGGGGGTTGCTAACAACACTAGCATGTTTATTGTACAACAAGCTGATGGTGTGGAAAGACATGAAGATTGTATACAAATCACTATATAAGGAATTAAACTACAAGAATGTGAATGAAAGAGACTTTCTGTAATGATGCTCAGTATGTTCAGAGTCGCCTTTTGAGTTCATTAGGAATAAAACTGCAATCGTATATGAACTTAATTTAAAGTAAACCCCACTAAACCCTAATTTACTTTCAAGTCTACTTAAGTAGGATTAAATTATGGCTCTATTTTAAGTCAAATAAGTTTAATAGTTACTGTTGTTGTTTTTTTAAGTATATTAATATAGGGAATTGAGGGAAAGTTATTTCCAGCCAGATAGTACTACTAATTAATTTTAAGAAGAAGAAAAACCTGTGGAATCATTAACATTTTGAATTTTATGCACATGTTCATAATTCTTGGTTGAGTTTTAAAAGATTGGTTCTTTCTGTTTGAAAATGCAAAAATGAGAAATTACTGAGAGACTATGCTAACTAAAATGTAATGTTCGTACAGACACATGAAAACTAGTGATTACTACCTAATGCAGAGGAATTGCAATTGTTTTGTAACAGATGCCAACCACTTTCTTCTTCAAAATTTCACTTGGCCCCGAAGGCCTTTGATATGCCTCACGTTTTTGAGCGGCAGCCACAAATACTCAGAGTAACTGCTTACAAGAATGGTACAGTAAATATATTTGCTAAAATCGCTGTGCCATCTTTTATTACACTGGTAAGTATAGATTTATGTTTGTAGATGAATATATTTATTGGATATAACACTGAAACTAACAATAATCCTGCTTTGAACAGACTCGCAGAAATAAATTAAATTTGTTAGTTACATTTAAAGTAAGTCCTATTGATTTTAGTGAGTCTGTTGTACGTAGTACAAACATTGGATTTAGTCCACTATCTTAAAATAAAAAGGCCACTGTTTTTATTTTGAAATGAACCACATCAAAGTGATCAAACATAAACATAGTTGCTGTGTACTTTATCGTCTTTAAGGAAAACAATGTAAGAAAGTGGACATTCTGTTGATGTAAACAATAGTCAAACAATAACATCAATAAATAACAGTAGGCAGTTAGAATGCACATATACTGTGTTTAAAGAAATGGGCCAGGCACTGTTTTGGATCTGTACTCAATTATAGTACTTAAAATAAGTACTGCTATTTTTTCTTACCTTTTTGTAGCTGCTGGAAGAGTGCACTGAAAAGCTGAAGCTGAATATGGCTGCACGACGAGTCTTCTTGGCAGACGGCACTGAGGCACTAGATGCTAGAGACATACCCCATGATGCTGACGTTTATATTTCGTCTGGAGAGCCCTTTTCAAATCCATTCAAAAAAATTAAAGGTAAAAAAACCACAGTCAATGGCTTAAGGGGTGCAATTAAAAATGATTTTCATCCCGTCTTTTTGCATGGTTTAACAAAACTAATGTTTACTCATTACAGCTCAGTAAGAGGATAATGTGCTTAATGAAAGAAAAATCTACTGACAGCCACGTTTATTGCCCTTCATTAGCATTGGTGCTTAATTTAATATAGATCTGAATAGACATTAGGGAGCCTGCAGGAGGTTAAATGGTGAAAATATAATAAATTAAATCAGAGATTATTGAATTTACTGTTTAGTTTCACTGACATCTAACAGACACAATTCATTAGGCTTATTACCCTCACAAAAATGATAGTTCAGAGTTTCAGTGCTTTTATTAATTTAGTCATTTGACCTTTATTAAGACAAAGCATTAAATAAATCATCAGACTATTTATGCAACAAGGTGGAATTTTGGCTCAAGTTCACTTCAGTTTATATATGTACCTTTTCTACCACTATAGTTTGAATTTTAACTCTGTAAAAATTTCACATCAGTGTCTCATGTCATATTTTTGTATAGGTTCAGTTGTACTTCACAATAAACATATAAAATTATCTACTTCTACAATTTCAAAAATTGCTGCATATGGAGTTTTATTTGGATTGCTTGTCTCCTGGATTGGAATACTGGCGCATTTTAATAAAATGTAGTATTGCTTTAAAAATTGTAGTTAAATAAGTGTGATAAAAATAGAATTGAATGAAAACCTTATCAACCTCTAATTGTACCACAAGTAAAACAACAAACTCTAAAATATTAAAAATAGTATGGTTAATCAGTGTTATTATCCATAATACTGTGTTTTATAAGTAAACAGGGAAACCAACTCGTCTGCTGATGCGATTTTTTTTCTCTTACAGCTCTTTTTATATTTTTTTGTAATTGCAGTGGTGCTTAATGTTATTGAAAAGTGGCACAAATATTCATCTTCCTGTGTGTATTGTAAACTGAATGAATTGTACTGAAATGTATCACAAAAACTATTTTTGTGTTTTTGCCCTGAATACTGAAATACTGGGCTGAAAAAAAAATGGTTCAATGTGTTTTAAAGAAACAGATTCTTCTAAGAAAATCAAATTATGCAGTCAACATGCAAAAAGGTGCCACCATAGTGATCATAGCTGAAATACCTATTTGTTTTAAGAACTAAGTATTTTAGAATTATGAGAATATTTGACTTTAAGCCACCAGTTGAGTGGAATAATATTTATTTCTGCAAAGCTTTTGAAGAAATTATATCTGTAATAAGTAACCCAGAACTCATGAATTATGCATGTAGTGCAGTATTGTAGATGATATGACAGTCTTCTTCAATACAGTCCAAATGATCCATAGAATATGTTTTATCCTGTTAACTCAGTAAGAAAAGGAGAACAAATTTAGCAAAAAATATTTTGTTTTTTTAAATATTTTACAGAAAAAGTGAGCTTTCAGCTGTGATAATTGATGTTTACTCAAACAGTAGTTAACTGAGCTAAATTTGATATTATAATACATTGTAATAGATTTATTAGTTTTATATAAGGCATTTTAGCAGTTTATCAGCTAGATTAATGGCTGTTTGGCTTTCAGCTTATTGAAACTTTTCTCTGTCCCTCTTTTTATCTTTATTTATTTCCCCCTTTCTTCCGTCTTTATTTTCCCCCTTCGTTCCTTCCTCCTTTTCTGTTTTTACATCAACAAAAACTTCTCTGCTTTGTCTGCATTGTTTGGCAGCGTTTCATCTTGACATGCACTGCTGTTCCTTTAGCACCAAAATGTTGGCACACATTACTGAAAATTTCACACCAACTCTTGCTGGATCAGCAAGCTTAACCTACCAAAATCTGGTGTACTGCAATAGTATTTGACTGATAATCAATCTTTTTGCTGCTCGACAGTTGTTTCTGGGACTCAGACTAGAGCAGGTGGCAGATGTGCCTTGTCTTTTGAGAAAAGAAAGAGTAGGTGAGGTTGGGCACAGTGTAACATATTGTGTGTCCATTAAAAGGGCTCTGCTATGATAAATATTATAGGAAAAAGTCAGTGATGTGGGTAGAAGATCCACCAAGAGCATCCAGCAGGTCTTTTTATATATTAATAAGATTATAGATTTGTTTCAAATTATTTTCATTCTATAAATAATGTTAACCTTTTTTTCTGAAAAATCAAGGAAGGCATTTTTAAAAACCTGCATGTAATATGCTTTTTACAACAGAAAACACTCAGTATATCATTGTTTCTAATTGTGACATTCATCTAGCCCAATGTATACAGCACTTTTGAATTCTGTTTCATTTTCTGTGGAAAAATCAAATTAAAAGCTTGGATCTTGGTTGTACAAGCACTTTCATAAATCATTTAATTTCCTTAGGTTAGTTGTTTGTTTTGATTGTGCCATTGGTGTTTGTCTAACTGCAAACTGAACCACTAGTGGAACAATACAATCTCTTGCACTTGTTAGCTGTATAGTGCATACACCCTTACCACTGTGGTTGTTAAATATATCTCAGTTTCTATTCTGGGGTAAAAGACTATGTAGTGGCTGTTTAAAAGTTAATCTCTAACACAAACTCAACTGGCTTTCCTTAGACAAAGTCCTATCTTTTTTAGCCCTCAATTCCACAGCTGCAATGCAAGAATATTATTATGTTTGCCTTTTGTCTTGCAAAGTTCTTACAGTGCACAGGTGGGCAAAGTACAACTTTTCTGATATTGCTGGACTGCAGCTTCAGATGAACTAAGATCTGGTGACCACTTTGCCGACCTCTTGGGTAAGGATTATGGAGATAATGGTCAGGATCCAAACAGGCCCCTAAGATTGTTTTCAGACCAATTTTAAAATAGGTTGTTTTAGCATATCAAGATACCATCAGGCCCGTAGCCAGGATTTCGTTTCAGTGGGGGGGGGGGGGGGCTAAAAAAATTTCAGGGTTTTTTTTGGGGGGGGGGGCTGAGTTTCGGGGGGGGGCTGAGTCTCAGTGAAAGAGGGTCTAGCACACCTTTTGTATCATTACCCCAATACCCCCATGCATATGGGATATATTGAGTATGGTGATCAGATCATGATATGAATAAACATAACAGTTTAAATAATGCACCAGTAAGGCCTTTTTGCGAACCACCATGAGAATTTCGGGGGGGGGGGGCTTGAGGGGCTTCAGCTACATGCCTGGAAACCATTATGTATTACAAATTGCTGTGGAACAACCCCTCAGTATTGAAATTTGTTTATTATATATTGCAGACAGCCATTGTTCAAGATTGTTCAACATTGTTTTGAGTGTATGGAGATTTGGTTGGATTCTGACCAATGTAATTCAAGAAATTTTGAACACTATGATATTATGGAAGTGTTTTTGGGCCCGAATATCCATAAAGTACTTGTAGGCGCTTTGCATCCCATTTTGACATGGTTCATTTTGAGTAATATTTAGAAGTTCACTCTTTTCTTCCATATCTTGTAGATATGTGTTAAAACATATCTATTCCTATGTTTTGTTTAATTTTTACATTGCATTTGAAAAACAAGCAAGTATGCACATGGGATTTTCCCTAAATAACTCCTTAACAGGTCTAGAGGAGGCAAGCACAAAAACATGCATGTATCTTAGCCAGGAAAGTGGGGGAACGGGGAACAAAGAATCTTCTTATACAAGTTAATGCATGTGGCTAATGAAGTATTCATGCATGTATCATGAGAATGTTCACAATGCAGAAACATTACTGCAAGTCTGAACACTATGTTACCCATCTACATGAAGCATAGGGGAAATGGTTATTTGGTAAATACTACTATTTTATAGTAAATGACCACCATAAAATATGTTAAGAGTTGATCATAGCCATTTGGGGTCGGGGGCGGTATTTTGTTGCTACCACCCTTTAAGTCTTGCTATAAACGGTCTGTTCTAGTCTGTATTGTACTATTTAGATATTTCTTCTTCCATATATTTCTTGTTACTGATAGTTCTTGTTCCAGACATGTCCCAGATTAGTACTATGAAAAAATTTAGCAGCTTTTCCAGTAATTCTAGGTTCATTGGTTTGATTGGAAATCAGTTAACCTCAGCCCAAGGTTTCCACTTGTCTGCTGCTACTTCAGAGTCATTCTCTGTGTTTTGATATATAATTAAGAATTGAAAGGCTAGAAAAACTTTATATCTAGTCCAGTCTACTGAACTCATTTCTAGAGCTTTACTATCTTGGCAGGAATCTGTTTTCATTGGTTGATGAGAGACAGCATAGTCGTCATGCTGGCTGCATTTTAACCACAATTAAGGAACTAAGGACTGGCCACAAAATGTGTGCTACCTCCTTTCAAGTTCAAGCAAAAGTCAGCAGATATATGGATCATAGTCCGTGCCAACCAAAATTCCCATTTTAACAATATTTAGATCTATAGATAATAATTTTATGCATGGATGTAAGCCATAGCAGAGTGCAATCTTAATATATAAAAATGTGAGGATGTGAGGATGCTAAAAACAACAAAACCACTGGGCCAAATGACAACACATTTGGTCACAAAATGCCTCACAACCCAAGGTGTGACCAGCAATAAAAAACAGCGAAAAGAACTTAAAATCCTTAAAAATGACAGGACAACACAGCACATGTGTGGAAAAGACTCTCCTGGCCTCACCCCCTCACTGCTCTTCAACCTTCCTTCCCTTTTGCCTTCCTCCCCTTTTGCTGCCGCTGCTGCTGCCTTTGCCACTCGTACCTGGCCTGGTGAGTGAGTGAGCAAGGGAAAGAGGGTAGGCGGGCGGTAAAGGGGCACTGGCGGCAGAAGCAGGAGCATGAAAGAGGTGCTTCTGCCACTGTTCCCACCTTTCCCGTCCTCCCTCGCTCACTCACTTACTCATTCACCGCTCTCCCTCTACCATCCCCTGCCCACCCCACAGACTCTTTGATTGCAGGTGAACTATGCATCCAAGCAACTCTCAGACGTCAAGGTCTTCCTCAAACTCCAGTGTTGGTTATGCTTCTCC